ACACACACACACACACACACACACACACACACACACACACACACACACACACACACATTTGTTTGCTTATCTTTATTCTATCTCACCTCTCCTGTATTGAGCTGCAGTAATGTGCAAACTTCCCCACTGTGGGATCAATAAAGTTTTATCTCATCTCATCTCATCTCATCTCATCTCATCTCATCTCATCTCATCTCATCTTATCTTAAAAAAATCACAGAAACAATATAAAAAAGCCAAAGATTTTAAAGTGACTACAATGAAATGGACTAAATTCAACTTTTCTACACTCTTAGAGACTCCAAGTACACAACAAAATGTATTTGACGGCTAAAAAAGTGGATTTTGAATGACATGTCCTCTTTAAATTGTAGATAATGTTTTATTTCTTCATTTTTTTGGTTTAATAGTTTTGGTTTCATTTGGTTCAAGTAATAAAAGTCTAGTGCACTTTAAACAGACACAAGTATAAATTATTCTTAAATAAATCAGAAATACAGGTAGCAACTTTTCTACATGTGAACAAAAACAGAAATAGAGATTTGAAGAGTTTATGCAAAGCTGTCATTTACTTTATTGCTACTGTAAAATATTATTATTACTAATATTAATAATAACGGGATGTGCTCAGTCACAGTGATGGAGGTCCTGCAGGAGGCAAAACGTGAGGCCAAAGCACTGCCGCTGGGTCAAGCTGTGCTCGACCTGCTGCCACTTCTGCAAGGTACCGTAAATAGAAGGCCTAGATTTTTTGTGTTTCTGTGTGGCAGTGTGTGTCTGTTTTACGTGGTAGGATTTTTTTAGCTGGAATGATTTTTTTTTTTACTTGTCTGCAGGTCAGTGCAGCTTTTCATCCACGGTACCGGTTCATCCTGTAAACAGCCCCGGAYTCAGGGAATCTCGTCAGGGCTTCACCCTGCTGGTCAGTTAGGWCATGACAGCACAGTTCTTTTTAATCTCACAGTTTAACAGCTCATCTCTTTGTAAAACATGATCAGTCCACTGCCTGTACACCTGTTTGAAACAATCAGAAACACACAGTCCCCTCCAAAAGTATTGGAACAGCAAGTCAAATTATCCTGTTTTTGTTGTTCACTGAAGACATTTGGGTTTAAGATCCAAAGATGAGACAAGAGTTCAGAACGTCAGCTTGTATTTCCTGGTATTTACATGGAGATGTGTTAAACAACTTAGGATATGTCACTGTTTGTATTACACCACAGCATTTTTTAGGTGAGCAAACGTTTTGGAACATGTGACTGACAGGTGTTACTTATTGACCAGGTGTTGCCTTTAAGGTTTGTTGTTCAAACATTWAATAGCTCTGCTTGACTAGTCTACGTGTTGGCCTGGCTTTAAACCTATAAAATAGGTATTTCTGTTTAAAGAAACATGAAGACCAGAGAGCTGTCTATGGGAGAATAGCAAGCCATTTTGAAGCTGGGAAGAAAAAAAAACCTCAAAGCCATTGAAAACATTGGCCCTATGCAAGCACAACAATTTGAAATGTCCTGAGTGACATCAGCAACGACCTCCACTGTTCAGGGGTGAAGGTATCACAATCCACTGTTGGAAGAAGACAGAGAGCAGAAATATAGAGGACATCCACAAAGATGCAAACCACTCAGTAAAAAGAAGTARAGAGATGAGCCACAAAAGTTCTGGAAGACAAACTTATGGACTGATGAGACCAAGATTAATCTCTACCAAAGTGATGAAAAGACCAAAGTGAGGAGAAAGTAAAGAACTGCTGATGATCTGAAGCACACAAGCTCCTCTYTGAAGCATGGTGCAGGTGATGTCATGGCTGCTTCTGGAACAGGCTCYTTAATATTTATTGATGATTTAACTGATGATAGCTGCAGCAGAATGAATCCTAAAGTGCACAGAAACATTTTGTCTGCTGTCTTGCAGAGAAATGCATCCAAAGTAATCTGGAGTAATTTTATGATGCGGTTGGACAATGACTTAAAGCACACTGCCAACAAAACTAAGGACTTCCTCAGGGGGAAAGTGGGAGGTTTTAGATTGGCCAAGTCAATCACCTGACCTGAACCCAACAGAGCATTTCACCTCCTGAAGAGACTGAAGGAGAAACCTCCTGAAACAAACAAGAACTGAAAGAAGCTGCAGTAAAATCCTGGAACAGCATCACAAATGAAGAATACAACAGTTTGGTGATGATGGGTCGAAGGCTGGAGGCAGTCATTGCAAACAAGGGTTATACCACCAAATATTAAATGTTATTTACTTTAAGATTATTTGTTCCATTGCCTTTGTTCACCTAAAAATG